CCAGTGTGATGTTAAACCACCGGGTCCAGGACTCGAACCGCGGTCAACTACGTGGGAGTCCAGCGACATAGTCATTATGCTAACTGCTGGTTCCAGGAACCAGCTATTGGTTTTTGAAGGCTGGAGAGCTCCTCCTCACCCACAGCAAGCTGCGTGGGGGTCCTTGCTGATAAGCTCAAGCCAACTACCTTGGCTTGGGCCTGCCTGTTGTCCCTTTTGTTTCTGGGAGTGGGACTCAGGGTCTCCCTGATGCTCCTTCTTTCTCTGAGGTTGCAGGAACCAGCTATTCAAAAGGACTTTTTTTTGCATGAAGAAGTCATATTTTTGTTTTAGTGTTATACACCTGGCTTATTATCAAACCCTTCTCAAGAAAAAGCACAGTTGGGACTAGCAGTTGGTGTAATGGCTATGCTGCTGGACTCCCATGTAGTTGACCGCGGTTTGAGTTCCAGACCCGGTGGCTTAAACTCACACTGGGAACATGTGCATGTGTGCCCAAGATCCTGAGAGGAGAATAGAGGAGAAGAGATTGTGGCGTGGCCATCCGCCCTGGGGGGGGATTTCTCACTTTCTGACTCTCTGTCTCTCTATATATTTCCAGTGAGAACACATGCCCTATAGCAAAAACCTCTAAAAAAAAAAAAAAAGAAAAAGAAAAGAAAAGAAAAAGCACAGTTAAAATGATGTGGGAGATTATATAGCTTATTTCTGAGTCATTTGGCTAAAAGAGAACTGATCACTAAAAAATAAAGCCTAATTATTAAAAAGAAACATAATTCCAGTCTTCTCACTTTCTGATGTGGAGAAATATATCACTGCAATTGATTATACCTTTGAGTAATTAAAAGCAGTTATCTTCCTAGCAAATGTTGAGAGATTCCTCCTGCAATTCTACCTGTATGGGCTACCTCCTCCCAACCCCTTCTCCACACAGAACACCTGTGGAACCACGGTTTTATGATTCAGCTCACATGTCACCTCAGTACTTTCTCTGACCCTGGGCAGAATAACTGCTCCTTAGCCCTTTGTGGCCCACAGCATTTTGTTTCTCCTGCATACAGGGCAGCTGTGAGGAGATGAAGAGTCCAGAATGGTCAAAAGCAGAACACATGGACTGCTAGAAATTAGCCAGAAAATAAAAGAGGAAGAATGAATACTGAGAGAAAGAATAGAATAGAAAGACCAGAAAAACCCAACACTGAGTAAAGGCCAAACTGACTCACAGATAATGAGGAATTTAGGTTCACATATACAATAATTGTTGAGGAAGTACATTCGTTATATATTTGGCTAAGCTCCTGCAAAAGGAGGGTGATTTAGAGGGTAAGTCTCTCATATATTCTGGTGGAGGGACATGAGAAACTGAGAGAAACTGGATTTGTTAACCAATCCAGTAGTTTGCAGAACATGAGTTGATAAACTCTGTCAGAGAATAAGATACAGGGCCTAACTGTGGCATGATTTTTTTTTCCATCTTATGAGATATACAATATTTATATTGAAGAAGCAATTTTTGAA